ATGAAAACCAAACTTCTGGATTACTTTCAGAATTGTGTATTCTATCCCAATAGATTCACTTAGCACAAAAAAAAAAGTGTTTCCTGAAAATCCAGTTGTGTGTTTCAGACTCTGAAAAATGTACATCAGTCTGTTTTATTGTATATTATTGGTATTAAACAAGCATAATTGTTTCTTGTATTCTTTAACGTCAAATATTCTCCCTGTGCCTACTAGAAGATTTTAAGTGTTTTTTTATTAACTTTTTGTTTGTTTTTTACTCCTCGTATTTAAAATAAAATTACTGTATAAGATGATAGCAGTACTTCTTCTTTCAAATGAGGTTTCTCTTTGAGTGTACTAGAGTGTACCACTGTAGAACTACTAGCCGCTCTAGAAGCCTGCCAGCAGGACACCTAGGGAGATGTCTATCACAAAAGCTAAGGAAAAAGAATGTAAATTCTAACTTACAGCAGTTGCAGTGAGAAGCTGTGTGGCTTGTATGTGGAATGTGGTTCATAAACAGCAGGTTTTATTAGTGCTTTAAAAAAAAATTATTTATTTAAGAAAATGATCTAAAGATGCTAAGAAATGCATTCTTCATTCTGGGTAATGGAAAGAAGACATAACTAGTTTTTGGCTGGATTAATTAATGCATGAGGCTCGTAGGAATCTAACAACAGTGTTTGTCATGTATGTTAGCTTTCACTGAAGTTCACTTGATATAGAGTTGAAAGGCCTTTCAATTGTTAGTTCCAGTACCTGTTCCTGTGAGCTGGGCCTAAGCAATTAAGGTCATGTAAAAGCTGATAGTTAGTTATAATCTGGCAAAGTGAACGCCTTGTGCTGTCAGTAAATTTCGGCTACATAAGGAAAATGCAATTACAAATTAAAGAGTAAAAAAGAGAAGCTGGGTAGGAGGTTTGCATTTGCTGTTGGTCACGTCAGTTCTCAAGACTCCGGCTGGGTGGTGGGCAGGTGGTGCTGACCTGTGGCCTTCTGGCTGGGCAGGGGCGTTGAAAGGCAATCCTGTAGCTTTAGAGGAAGATGCTTGTAGTGCTTTTTCCCCAGAATCGCAGAAATTGTAGTTTGTGTTAAGAAGTGTATGATTCAACAATTCAGGTGTGAGAAACTAAACTGTGAAACACAGGATTTCATTTAAATGTTGAAGCGTGTATTTGAGTTGGTGATTCTTTCAAGTCTGCCTGTAGGACAAGGAGGTGCTCTGAGCAGGAAGTGGGAATCAAAGGCTGTAGACTTGTGTCTCCAGAACTGAACATGTCATGCTGTTTTTTCCTGCAAATAAGACTCAGGACCAGAATGTTGACTCTTCAAGAGCATTTGGGGAAAATACTCTATAACTTTCTACTGGCCTTCCAGTGTTTCTCTCTTTGTCACCAGGTAGGATGTGTGGTGTCTAAGAAGCTAAACAGGAGATTTTTATAGCCCAGTTTTTCACTGAATACCTGCGCTATTTTTGAGATTAAATGTTTTCCTCCTTTCCTTTGCCCAGACCTCCAGTCTTACTTTATTGTGAGCCTGTCCCTTGTCAGTAAATGCGGAAATCCAGTGCTTTAGTTACAGTAGTTTCCAGCTATTGTAATAAATAGACAGTTGTAGCCTATCCTGGAAGTGGTTCCAAGACTGTAAGTTGTGACTGGTCTTTGCATGGTTAAACCTCAGCAGAACTGTGACAGCAACTCTTGTTATGCATTATGATTCTATGATATAGAACACCTGGGAAGGCACCCTGTACCGTTTCAGTAGCTGCCGAGCAGGAAGAAAATATGCAAAGTAATCATAGAATCACAGAATGTTAGGGGTTTGAAGGGACCTAAAAAGATCATCTAGTCCAACCCTCCTGCCAGAGCAAGATCACCTAGGGCAGGCCACGCAGGAATGCATCCAGGCAGGTTTTGAAAGTCTCCAGAGAAGGAGACTCCACACCCTCTCTGGGCAGCCTGTTGCAGTGCTCTGTCACCGTGGCAGTAATGAAGTTTCTTCTCATGTTGAGGTGGAACCTTCTGTGTTCTAAATTGTACCAGTTATTCCCTGTCATGTTACTGGGCACCACTGAGAAGACATTGTCCTCTTCCTCTTGACACCCACCCCTCAGATATTTGTATACGTTAATAAGATCCTCTCTCAGCCATCTCCTTTCAAGGCTAAACAGCCCCAGTTCTCTCAGTCTCTCTTCACAGGAGAGATGTTCAAGTCCCTTAATTATCCTCTTAGCTCTCCATTGGACTCTCTCCAGTAGGTCCCTGTCTCTCTTGAATTGGGGAGCCCAAAACTGGACACAATATTCCAGGTGTGGTCTCACCAGGGCAGAGTAGAAGGGGAGATGAACCTCCATAAACCTGCTGGAGACACTTTTCTTATTGCACCCAAGGATCCCATTGGCCCTTTTAAGCTTTGGAAAAAATTATTACTGTGGAATAGGAGACAGTTCTCACTGCAAAGATCATTGAAAATATTTAAGACAGTCTTACTTAAGTTAGGGCTGTGTGCTCTGTTTCTCAAGGGATTAAGTACCAAGATAATTCTACTCTAGGTGCCTCTAGGAATGAAATAAATCAGCATAGATAGGAAGATTTTACATTCTTCTTGGGGTATGAATTTTTGTACTTGGTAGTTACTGAACTTTGGATCTCGTTTTTTTCCTGTCCTTGGCAGTACTACAGGGGTATATTTTCATGTGAGTGAAGTGTTCCTGAAAAATTTGTCTGACTATACTGGGAACAAACAGGCTTTTCTTGCATGTCTGGCATGAGTGTTTTCTTAGTAAGTTCTTACTGAAAGAAAGTTCCTGTGTTGCATTCTTATTTGACTTTTGCTGAGTACGTATGATTATATTTCAGGAACTTTTGAGAGGAGTAGTACATCGTATTATGCCAATAATCATGGAGGTGTATGGAGAACAGCCATTTGGGGGGTTTTGGCTGTTTTATCCAGGGATCAGTTGATTAAACAATCTTCCTTCTACTAGTGGTTAAAACGACATTACTTTTCCTGTGAAAGCTGTTGTAATGAAAGTTCTTGATGTCTGTGTTTGTGTCCTGATAGAGTTACAAGCATGGATCAGAATTAATATTAAATGTGTGAATATAGGTAAGCTAGATAATCTATACTCAATTTTACAAGCTATTAAAAGCAACTTGTTGCTTTAAATAGGAGTTTGATGTGTAGAATTATACTAATATGCATCTGGGTAAAGGGATTATTGATTAAGATACATTAACTGCATGAAGGCTACAGTGAAGGATTTAGCTAGCTGCAGGAGGAAGATACTTGTGTGGAATGTTAGAAGAGTTGGTTTGTTTTTTTTCTAAGGAGGCCTTGTTTTGTTCTCAGAAGATCTGGGGTTTATTTATTGTGCTTTTTTGTGTGTGTGTCGGGTACAATTACTGGCCTGCTTCCCTAATGAGCAGGAAAATACTGCTTTGAAGCCTTTTATAATTAGGCTTCTTAGTGCTTTTATGTATACTTTGTGGATTACTGGAAAATTAAGTATAATGAATGAGGCCTGGGAATATTTCTTGTTAACCGGTTTCTAGATATGTACAAGATCCTATTTGTATTGGTTAGAAACAAAAGATATTTTTTTCTGCTGGTGTGACTGTGAAATTAAATTGAAGAATATCTTTACTGATGTGACTTCAAACAGATGTGGAAGATAGGAGGGACACCTGATTCCAAAGATGTATCAAACAATATCTGATTCGGTAAATTTTCTCATATGTTTATTCAAAACATTTTAACTATGAAATACCTCACTTCAACAAGACTGCTCACAGAAATTATACTGATAGCAACTATCATTATGGAAAACTTCCAAAATTATTTTGTTATCTACAACTATTCAGTGTGTGGTCTACCAAACCATCACTCATATTACTTATCTTTTTGGCTTTGGTGGAATTAAACTGTGGGCTATCCCAAGTAAGTGGCAATTAGAAGGTTTAGTGTTTAATTTTTAAAGTCCTTATGGTAGAGAGAATGTCATTACACAACATTTCAGAGCGTGTATGTTTACTGCTCTATATAAATGTTTTATTGTAGGAGTACTTGTGCCAGAGTAAAGAACTATCTTGGATGAAGGGAAATTAAATTGCATTGTTTCTGTCCTATATAATGCCACTAGTTTCTGAGTACGTTACGTGATCCATTAGTAACTAAGTTACTGACAAGATTCTTGAAAAGCATTTCTTGTAGCTGGATTCTTGTTTGGGCTGAAGAAGAAGAGGAAAAGGAAATCTAAAGCTGTTTTGTGAGATGTACATTTGTGATGGCATGGTGATAACAGATTTTTTTTTTAGTAGGTTCTGAAGAACCAGCACCAATGAATGTCTTGATCTTCACTCTCAGCTCCAGATGACTTGTCCTGTTGTTCATAAGGGTATGTGTACTTCGATTGGGAAAGTGTTGGCAAAATCTCAAATGATTTTAAAACACATCCTTATAGCTTCTTATTTTATTCTCTTTGCAGCCATACTTAGAGTGTCTGACCCAAGGGATCTCTAACTTAGTGGTTTATTCTTGATAGAGCGTTACTTTACAGACATAGTAAGATGCAGTGTCCAGTATCTTCGTGCTCTGTGGAGGAGAGACAGTGTGTCAGTGCAGCCAAAGGCCTTGAACCTGTGAGACATGCCACTGATTATCTGACACTCGAGTTTTGTAATTTTGCCCATCGCTGTACCTTTCAAAATCATGTCATGCAGTCTGCTGAGGAGCAAGATCTCACTGCAAGGTCTTCCTGCAGACCTGCGTGTTGATGTGGGGAAAAAGAAACGGGGTCGTATAGAATCAATCATATGCTGGACATATTCCTGGGGCAGTGCTCTTCTTTTAGTTTGCCTGGAAAATCCTTCTAGGAGTATCCTAGATATGTCACTGATCTCAGTGACTCGCTGTCCTCAAAAAAGTTTGAATTTAGTAAAAAAGGGATAACATATGGTGTTCTCTGAATGCTTTTCTGAAGCAACTACTTTATTTATAACTTAAGCTTCTTTTATTAGATGTCGTCTCTTACTGAAAATGGAGATGTTCGTGCTGGAAAATCAAATGAAGAGAAAACATATAAAAAGGTAAATAAGACTTAAAGCCTGTTCATTGCATGCATGTCTTTCCCTTCATATTGGTAATTCAAGCCTGCTGTAAGTGAAATATATTTCGGAACTGACTAAACACAAAACCAAACAAGAGCAAATCATGTTCCATGGAATTTTGCAAAGTACTTTATTCATTCTCTGAAATTATAAGACGTTTCTACCCACTGAGAGCTGACTATTTGAAAGCTTGTTCAGTACAGCTTTAAAGTATACACTTTTGCTAGATTGATGAAAAAGCTTTGCTTTTAGCATTAGATACATCTCTGGGCATAAACACTGTTGTCAGAAATTTATTACATTAAGTTCCCAAACGCTTTGAGTGTTTGTGTAATATGTGTGGACTACAAACCTACCCTATTGCTTCCTCAGTGCTTTGCCAAACAGTACACTTTTAGACTGCTTTGGTGGTTTTTAAAAATATTGAGACCTCATATTTAATGTAGGAGCATGTATCAATGGTAGCAATATAGGGCCATTTGTATGTCCTAACAGTAGCTGACACTGGGTTTGATTTTGTTTTTCTGTCACTCGTTGTCTGGAACCGGCGTTATGTAGATCCACCTAGCACTATTGATAACTAAGGAGAGGTATAAATTAACATTGTTCAATACGTATTTATATAACAGATTGTTAGCTGTCAAATTTGATCATTTTCTTGACAGATCACCTCAAAGAAGTGTTGATTTTTTTTTTCTTAATTTCTGTAATCTCACAGAGATCCGCCTACTCCTACAGTATATATCATGGCTAAGGATTTTTCACCTCTGAGTTGCCTACATTACTGTTGGTGCAGTCAGGAAAATAACATGCTGCTATTATTTTTACCCATCTTTTTTGTTGGCAGTTGCATTTTCACTTCCTGGGTGTCCTTAACATTCCAGATTGTTTTCTCAGAAATTAAAGGAAATAATGCTTGAAAAAATGCTTGTTTTCTTTTTAGATACATGTTATGTTCAGTCTTGTGCTTCTGGCTTTAAAATATTGAAGTCTCAATTGCTCTTGACAGTATGAGAAAGGAAGAAAAGTTCAGTGCCTGAGGTGGACACTTTTGGAGTTTTACATTGCTGGACTAGATGAGACGAATCTTGGTAGTCCTGCCACAGATAAGTTTCCATTCTCCCCAGTCATCCTACATGCTCTACTCTGTTCATGTTCAACTCTGAAATTCACAATATTCCAGAGGAAGCCTTGTAAATACTTTTCACCATGGCACAAATCTTTTGGTGTATTTACTGTAAGTGCATGTCTCACAAAACCTGGTTTCCACAGCCACAGTACCCTAGGAGATCACTGTGACTGTCATCTTCAAATTCTCCCTGTTCCCCTGAACCACTGGCTGTCTGTGCTTCTATTTTACACCAGTTTATTTCCTTTCCTTATACTTAGACTCTCAGTTGTTCTGTATTCAAGATACTGTGTTGCATATGCCCCATGGTTTAGTATTGTCACCAAATCTTATGGTCCTGCATTTTGTGATAAAGTTAATAAAACAGTAAATTTTACCCCACAAGTTATCCATGCAGGGCCTGCTGGTAGTGTATCTTTGCCTGGTGCTTTTACTTTTAACATGTATCTCTCCATTTAAGCCAAATTCTATACAAACCTTTCACTTTCTGTAATTCTCACCTTCTTCAGATACTCAGTGTAACATTGTTTCATATTCTTCTTACCAAAGTCCAGAGGAATCAGCTGTGTATGTCTAGAAAGTTGGTTACAGTGTGAACCTGGCAGGACCTGTGTTTGGCAGAGTTGTTTCGTGCCGTTTCCCATTTAATTCCATATTTTTAAGTAACTTACACAAGGAGATCTTGCTCTGTTGAAGTCCTGTTTACACTTAAGATCCACCTGTCTTTTATTGCCCACGTCACTCTTCTTCACTCTTTTATACAGGCATTGCATTTACGATTCTCCAGTTATGTGTTGTTGCACCTGATTTGTTTGGATGGGAAATACTTGTTCTGTCCTGTGATTTCCTGTGTCACGTCCTCCAGAAATGTGGGATGGGGAAAAGATTTTCAGCTACTTGGGCGGTTCCTGTTCCCATGTACCACTGCCCTTGATTGCAGTGGAAATACTTAGGTGAGATGCTCTAGTTCTAAGTCAGACCATGCATGCTAACATGTTCTCATTGCTCAGAGGCTTCACTTCCACTTTTTTTAAAAAAAAAAACCCCAAGATATAACAAAGGTGAAGAAGCTTGTGCTGTTCAGCTTAGGGAAAAAAGGACAGTACCTTGGCTTGAACTGTGGCAATTCTAGTCTGAAGGAGTGCGTGGCATGGGACCTGTGATACTGGTATGTATTTTTGACCTGGAATATTCTTACTGGTAATGTACTCCTGTGAAAAGTTGTAGCAGTCAAAGAAGTTGTATCATGAGATGTGAACATGGAGGGTTTCAGCAGAGCAATGGTACAGTGGTGCAGAATGAGTAACAGGTAGCTCAGAAACACTGATATTAGAAAAGTTTTATATTGTCAAGTTTGATGTAGGTAATTCAAGGGATTTCTGGTCATAACTCTAGGAGATAATCATCCTTGAAATAAGATGATGGTTTCAGTCTTGACCACACTCCAGCTAAAAGGTCATCCTTGCAAAGCAGAGGGATTAGTGAAGGAAGAGTTAATGACATCCTGCCATTGTCTCCTGATATGGGACCCACTAGTTCCACAAGGACTCGGTAGCAACTTTCGGTAGTAACTTTCTCCTGAACTGTGTGGCTTGGTCTTAAATTTTAAACCTTCCTTGGGCTCTTTGCCTTCCACAGAGTAGCCTAGCAGTGTGCCCTTTTATCCTCTCTCAGGATCTGCAGTTACTTTGTGGCAAAAAAATGCATGATATTCAGATGTGTGCTGGAATACCTATAATGCCCAAAATTAAACAAAATCTCTAAGGATAAAGGATGTACTAATACTGCCTTGCTGAAGGGTTACATTTTCTTTGCATGAGGCAGGGGATTTGCAATCTAATCTAAAAAGTGGAGAAACCTTTTGTTTTAAACTGTTTTACATTTTATTTAGTTATATCTTGTGTCCATTTTTTATAATAGCGTACAAAGATTATGTGATAGAATCATAGAATGGCCTACGCTGGAAGGGACCTTAGAGATCATTTAATCCAGCTTCCCTGTCACCAGGGATGCCACCTCTCGACTAGATCAGGCAACACATGGGGACCGAACGGGAATCGAACCCACGATTTTGGCGTTAGTGCCACGCTAAACTGACTGAGTTAACCAGCCCCCTCTGTGCAGCTTTAGTCATATGTGTGTATATATATACATAAACTGGATGCAAATGGAAAAGGCGATGCATGGAAATTGTCTGATTTGTGGTGTAAAATCCAGTGACACATATGAGAAATAAATGTGTTGCATTTAGGGGTATTGTCCTTGTGCCAAGTCCAATGAGAAATAAGCCTAGCTAATAAATATAAATTAAGAATGTTCTAGTTGCTTGATCTGGAAATGAAAGTTTCCTGTATTAAGAACAGTGAATTATCCCAGAAAACTAGGGGAAATTCGAGAAAATAATTGCAAATACTTGTTTTTTTTTTACTCAATCTGTTTTATGCAAGTGTGAAAAAAAAATCAGTATTTTTGTCCTGAGATACAGCTGGTTTTTGTTTAGTATAAATGAAACTGCTTACCTTAGGTGATACAACCTGTCCCATTGATGAACAGATGAATGGTGGTTTACTAAACCCCATGGACAGTGACGGGATAAGGGCTAACAGTTTCATACTGAAAGAGGGTAGACTTAGCTTAGGAAGAAATTGTTTTCTGTGAGGATGGTGAGACATTGGAACAGGTTGCCCAGAGAAACTGTGGAAATAGAGATGATGGAATGCAAATTTCTGTTTGTTTGGGCTTTTTTTCTTTTGCAAACCACAATCTTTCCTTGCATTTCCTCTCCAAAATGGTTCGACAGTCTGGTGGGCTGTTCAGCTCTAGTAGGGTAACTCCTGGGTTTTGTCTGGATTGATGAATTTCGAGAAGTTGATAAGTTTACAGTGTGAATATCACCTAAAAAGTTTCAGTCACTCTAGTCAAAGAATTTAGCTAATTGATGAGAAACTTCACAGATCCGTTCAATGCAACTTTTAAGGTAGGTGATTCAAATAACCTTGAGATCATAGAAACTCTTTGAGGGTGAGATTTCTTCAGTTGCTTGGGTTGAGTTGGGTTTGGGCTGGGTTGGTTTAGTGTTGTTTGCTTTTTTTCTCTTTTTGTGTGTTTTTTTCAGAAACAGAGGAAGAGAGTGTGGGGCAGATAGAGAGAGAAGCTGTGATTATTTACTCTTTTGTGCTTGAGGTTCCTAAGCAAAGTAGCAAGGGAGTGTGGCAACAAAATGTGGTCAGACGGGCTGTAGCTTCTCTTGGATATCCATCACAGCCTTGTCGTTGAAATCTGGAATATGCAGTAGCCACTTTTTTTTCATTTCCTCCTGATATACTGCAATCTTTGTTGTGACAAGCTGCTGCCACACATGCAGCTTTTGTATTACGTTGTCCTCAGTCACACTGTAGTCCCTGAATCTGTTTCCTGAAAAAAACAGATTTGAGTAGCATCCTGAGGCTTAATGCTAGGATGGTGGTAAGAATGGAGCACAGACAGGTCTGTGAAAGCACATTAAGTATGTAGAAGATGATAACACCAGAAGACAAAGCAGGTTGTATAGTGCACTTATTGTGGAAACCTGCTGTTGCATTAGCAAAATCTTGTAAACTCAGGGCTGCCACACACGTATACAATTAGACTTTGTTTCTCATTATTACATATCTTGCGGCTCTTCCAGTTAGCGTATTATAAGCACTTCATGTAACCTGTTCAAAACTGTGTATTGTAAACATGAGTCATTTTGCCCAGGAGCAAAGGGAATTGGACGGAATAAAGGAAGCCGGCTACTTGTTAGCGCTTGCAAACACGTACAAGCAGCATTGCTGCATCACTTCTGGCATTATTTCATGCCCTTTATCTA